GTCAGAGTGCCTACGGCAAACAACACCCCGGTGTTTTCCAAAAGCTTCACGCTTGCCCTTTCATGTGTGCAGGTTTAGCGGATTGTCAGTGACCTCAACCTCACAAGATTAGACCCTATTTTCATGATAGTAGATTTTTTACATCTATAGATGTCAAATATGCAAAAATTAGACTGAAATCTATTGCAGGATTGAGATAGATTTTACAAACACTTACTCAACTTTGAATCAAAAGGACCCTCAAAACTCATCTCCTAAATTAGCAACATATAAAATAATTGATCAATATTGTATACTAATTAAAAAGTTTAAATACTGATTTTTAAGGATTAATAACACGAACTGGAGAAAGGCCTATGAATTTCAGCAATTGATTGATCTAATTGAATAATTTCTACTAATCTAAATACTATTTTAATAGTGTGCCTAGAAGCAGTAAAGTTACGGGCATGACACAGGGCCCTAAAAAATATATAAAGTAAAAAGAGAAGATAAAGAGTCATGTGATAGCAGGGGCATAGCCAGAAATAATGTACAGGGGAGTCAAAGTTAAAAGAACAATACAATTTTAAATTAACATAAGCATAAATTTTGTATTTATAAAATTCTCATCAACTAGTACATTTATAATTGTCTTCGACGGGATTTCATCTTTAGGAAGTATTGTATAAAGACTTCATTATCAATACTATCAAATACATCTTTCTCTATATACACAACTAAGCTATCATTCAACCATTGATCACTCATTCTATTTCGCAAACGATTCTTCACAAAATTCATTGTTGAAAATACTCTCTCTACACTAGCAGTGGCAACGGGTAGAATCAATACTAATTTCATCAACAAATAAACTAATGGAAACACTCTATCCTTCTTAGTTTCAACAATCATTTTTGCCAGATCTCCAATCCCTTTCAATCCCATAAATTTGACATTAGAGTGCATATCCAAAATGTAAACATCAAGTTGAGAATCAAGTGCCATGAGTTCTAAGTTAGAAAAATCATCAGGGTAAAGTTCGGCAAGGCGTATCAATTTCTGTTTATCAAAAGCAACAAACGATTTATTTGGACATAAACATGCCAAAAAAATAAGCAATTCAATGTTTGCCTCATTGAAACGATTATTCAACTCTTGAAGCTGCATATCTAGGACATTATAAAATATTTCAATGCAGTAATGATGCACGTTTTTGATACTTTGAGCCTTATGTTGTGATCGCCCTTGAATAAAAAAACTTGTCATCCATATTAGGAACATCAATGTCATGATTGGCACAAAAAGAATAAACTTTGCTTAATAAAGTCTCCCATCCGTTATCCCTCATCAATTGTAAAGCTTGCTTACATGCTTCGACCAAATTCATAGCATTTACAATATCTTGATCTTTTCTTTGTAGTGCTTGAGAAAGTTTATTTGTAAAGCCAAGTATATCTTTCATAAAAAATAGACTAAACACAAAGTCAAATGATTGCATCAATTTAAATATGTTTTTTGCATGAAATCTTTGCTCAGAGTTTGACCCATCTTTTGCCACAATTTCAAGAACATCGATAATGGATGAAAACATTAAGATTATGCTCATTAACGTACCATAATGTGAGCCCCAACGCGTATCACTGGCATGTTGCAGATTAGTCTCTTGATTGAGACCTTTTCCACTTTAAAGTTCACTATTAGAAAGAGCTTCAATAACTTTACAACCTTGCTTATCTCTAAGAAGATCGCAACGCTTTGACAAAGCACCGACAATATTAACCACAATCGTCACGATATTAAAAAGATCATTAGCATCATCATGGTTCTTTGCCAAAGCCACAAGAGCCAACTGGAGTTAATGGGCAAAACAATGAATATAATAAGCACATCTATTCTCTTTCAAAACCAGTGTCTTCAAACCATTAAATTCTCCTTGCATATTACTAGCTCCATCATAACCTTGTCCTCGTAGTCTAGAAAAACTCAACCCATGCCTTGAAAAGAAATTATCTAGTGTTGCCTTGAGTGAGAGAGCTGTGGTACTAGTAACATGTTCAACACCTAGAAAACACTCTACAACAAGTCCATTCTTGTTAACATAACTTAAGACAATAGCCATTTGTTCCTTCCTAGAGATATCACGAGATTCATCAATCATTATAGCGAATAATGAATCTCCTAAATCTCTAATGATATTACTTACGTTTTCATTTGAATCAGCACTTACAATGTCTTTTTGAATCTCAGGTGATGTCAATTTGAGATTATCAGGAGCATTCTTGAAAGCAACAACATTGTAATCTTCATTATGATTAGCAAGAAATTGTATAAGCTCGAGAAAATTCTTTTGGTTGCTTTAATTATATTATTCATCATTACCACGAAATGCAAGTCCTTGCCTTAGAAGAAAACGAATACAGTCAACTGTAGTATTTAAACGAGTTCGATACTCTGTTCGTGCTTGAGAAGAATGTCAATAAAAAAATGTATGAATATGCTGGTCTTGATTCAATAATATTTCACACATTCTTCGAGCTTGGTTATGAGCATTATTAGAACCTCCAACATGAATATTCAATTAGTAAAACCAATTAAAAACAAAGAAAGGGCAATATGGAATGGATAAAGGTCAACTCTAAAATAAGTTTAAAAACTATCTTCCTACTTCCTCTAACTTCAATATATTATTACAAATAAATAAATAAATAGATGCAATTTGTGGTCCCAATGACAATTTCATCTTCCTAAATCCTAATCTATAATTTAATCTTAAAACTTTTAAAATAAATTAATACAAACATAAAATGTATTACCTGAAAAATTGAAGAAAAAGGGGACTTGTTGGCTTGATAGGAGGAGAAAATTACACTTGTGTGGATAAAGCCTTAAAGGAAAAGAATTGGCTTTATAGGTTATTAAAGAGGAAGAAGACGTCTGAGGGAAGGAGAATGATGAGTTTACTTTTAGTAGGAGAACGAAGGGTTTACTTTTAGTTTTACAGCTCCCAAAACAAAAAAGTGTAATTTATTGGGTATAAATGTATAATGCAGCTTTTTGGTATTTTATTTTATGTAGGGGTTAATTTGTAAAAACATAGCAAAAATTTTTAAAAGTCAAGGAGGGTCAACTGACCCTCCCTCCCTCCGCCCGTGTGATAGGGTTATTATCCCTCATTTATTCCCAGGTTTGTTCTCATTTAACACCCCATAAGTTTAAAATAAAATCTGTTAGCTCCCCTTAAATTTAAAAAATTCTCTCAAACCTCTTCTCTCCATTGTTTGCTAAAGTAATCTATTAGGTTTTAATCTCTCCCTTTGTGGCCGGATGACGAGCTCTTTAACCACTTGAGTTAGCTATATCTACGGGTATTGTGTTCGAGTCACAAGAGAATCAATTATTGGTTTACCTAAAAATAAATAAATAAAAATCTATTAGGTTTTACTTTATTTTTCTTAAAGAAAAATAACTCTAAATCCCTTATGTATATCTATATTATCAAAATCCCTCAGATGTTTGAAATTAGTCTCAAGCCCCTGTCAATAAATCCAAGTTGCTCTCAACTCCAAAAGCAATAAAATACCTTTTTACCCCTAATTGCACTAAAAGAAAAAAGATTAATAGATACAATTTACTTTTAATTTTTATACAAAAAAAGTTAATAAATACAATTATACTCTAGGGTTTTTTTTTTTTTTTTTTTTTTGGTTGAAATATCTATTCTTAAGGGGTTTAGAACACTTTTCCTTTAACAAATCATTTTAATAAAGGGTAGAGCGAAGATGTTTGAGAGAATTATTGAAATATGAGGGTGAGGTGAGGGATGCTATTTTAAAGTTGCAGGGTATCACTAAGAAAAATACAAAACCTGGGCGAGGTGAAGGTTAATAATTCCATGAGTTTTAGAAAGAAATATTCATGTTGACCCAATAGAATTTGAAACTAACATTTTTATAGTTTTAATCTGTAGATGGTAAAAATCTACGATTATAGAAGGGACGGATCCTATAAGGTTGAGGCCAATGATGATCTACTAGACCTGTACACACAAAGAAGTAAGCGCGAAGCTCATAGGGGACACTGGTGTGGTGTCTGACGTAGACACTCCGACGTTCAAGTCAGTGAGACTTGAGAGGCAATTTAGTAAGGGCTAGAGGAGGAAGGATTACCAAAATCTTGTCGGAAACTAGAACTACGGTGAAGGGGGCGGTGGTTCTTAAGAGCAAGAACTTTAGAAGCTAGTAGGTGGTATTCAGGTTGAATGCCTAATGAGATGTTAGACTTCTATTTATATAGGTAGTTCAAGGGACTTTATTCCTAGTAGAACTTTGAGTTCATAATGGTGGAGTTTGAGTAAACATGAAAATCCTAATTTACTTGCCTTTGTAGAAGTAAGAGTCCTAATTCATGTAAGATTCAGGATTTTCGACGAATTAGGATGTAGATGAAAACCTTAGATGGATTTAGATAAAGGTAGAATCCGTAGATGAATTAGGATATTGATAGGACTCTAGGTCCTTTGGAGCGGCCATGGGCAAATGGGCTTGAGCCCAAGTGGGCTAACGACGAGGCCAGATTTGTGGTGTGACCTTAGTAGTTGAATGATCCAATGCATGAGTAGCCTGATTTATGTGATGGGCTGACTCCTAGTGTAGATCCTAGCGTAATCCCAACTGGAATTGGGCAGTGACAATAGGCCATACAGTATATGTTTTGTAGTTGAGCCTAATAAGACCCGTTACAATTTTTGGCCATACATAATCATAATAATTTACATTTTGTTGGGGTTCCTCGTAGAAAATTTCAATTAAATATTATAAAAGAGGAAGCTTATAAGAATGACATCACAAACTTTACATCAAGCATAATATTACACATACAATATAAAATAAAATAAAATTGCATTGAATGATTGATACATGTGCACATACGCAATGAAACATTCATGAGTTTTCTTTCTTCTTTATATAAAATAGACTCCTATTTGGCTTTTCTCTTGTCATACACATAAACAACTTTTATTTTCTCTTCAGTCGTCCTCTTCTTCATAACAAACAAACAAAGAAACGTAGAGTAACTGTATTCTTTTCTATCCATGGCGAACATTCGACTTTTTGATATCGTATTGGTTTCTTCTGGGTTGTTGATGATGCTGTCTTATCACTTTTGGCTTCTTTATCGTATCATTAAACACCCCACTAAGACTGTCATCGGTGTCAATGCCATCAACCGTCGCTTCTGGGCCCGTGCTATGATGGAGGTTACTCTTTTTCTCTTTTTAATTTTATCTTGTGTTGAAATTCAAATTTACATGCATATATAATTATTTGCTATAAATTTTCTTTGGTCTAAGTATAAATTTAACTAGTCGTTCTTTTTTTTTTCTTTCAACTGTGCAGATGTCTGCACTCGAGAATCTTAAATTTATGTATTGACTGTCTGTATAGGTACAATTCTTGTTAGTTGACTTTTTTTAACACATTAAATCCGGACTTTTTAAGTATACACTGATAACTAGCTGATGCTCGTTAATGGAAAATGAGTTTTACTCTCTCTCTCTCTCTCTCGCTTAAAGTACAAACATTCTGTAGGACTATTATTAATACAAATAATAATTCTTATTAGGGGAAGATGATATCTACTGATTGATGATTAAGTATTTTTTATTTTTTATTTTTTTTGGAAGCGCTGAAAATGACTATTCTTATCATTATTGGTCATTTATATTTGGCAGGACGCGTCGAAAAATGGGGTGCTTGCAGTACAAACATTCAGAAACAACATAATGGCAGCAACTGTTTTGGCATCAACTGCTATAATGTTGAGTTCTGTGATTGGTGTATTAATGACAGGGGGTGGTGGTAACGGTGATCGACAATTATGGATTGCATTTGGGGACAAAACTGAAGTATTTTTCTCCATTAAGTTCTTCTTAATATTGGTATGTTTTTTGGTGGCGTTCTTGTTCAATGTGCAGTCAGTTAGGTACTACAGCCATGCAAGTTTTTTAATCAACGTGCCATTCAAGAAGATGTATCAAGATGTTCATCATCACCAACTCACATCAGAGTATGTAGCCAGCACTGTGAATAAGGGGAGTTATTTCTGGTCTCTGGGCCTTCGCGCTTTCTATTTCTCTTTCCCTTTGTTCTTTTGGATCTTTGGGCCAGTACCCATGTTTTTGTCCAGTTTTCTTCTGGTTTTTTTGCTCTATTTCTTGGATGTCACTTTTGATTTTGGACGGCCAGTCACTGCTTCTAATAATGGTGATGAAGATAAGGATGAGGAAATTGGGAGAGTGAATTGATTTTGATGAAATAGCTGAAGAAAGAAGGGAAGACCAATTCATATTCAATCTTGGTTGAATGGAATTGGTTTTTTTTCCTTGGCAACTTAATAAGAGTAGCATTTTGAAATTGAAGTTGTTCAATGCCTTTTCTCTTTAGATGCTTTGCAAAATTCCATTCAACTCCTGTATTGTAGTAATAAAAAGAATGAAAAGCAAAATGACTTGATTTAAAACTCACAAGAGCGCAAAGGTATCTACTCTAGTGTGGTGGCATAGGCCAAAAGTTCCTTTAGGGTGCATTTGGTTAGGAGTTATATAGGATTACTAAGGTAATGTCATCTTATATTACTTGATTACCACGTTTGGTTGTTAAGTAAGATAAGATTCTAATAATCTTCCAACACTAACTACCTGTTGATAATATAGGAGGTAATTTGATTACCTCCATTTACCTAGTATTTTAAGATTACTTGGTAACACAATTTTTGTTATAATTTTATCCCTTATTAATAAAATTTTAGGACAATAATGCCCTTGTTTTAAAAACAATTTACAAAAATACCAATTGACTATTTTATTCTTATATACAAAGTTTTTAGGACATAAATACCCCTGAAATTTAAAAAAATTACCTAATGGTGGTGGCTGGATCTGGCCACCACTACCAACCGCCATAAATCACCAGCAGCGGAGATGGAATGGTGCACGACCGGCCATATTTGGTTGGTCGTACGTAGATAAGGATGTTTCTGTCTATGGATCTATGATACATGCCTGGAAATAGCCAGATCTGGCCTTTTATGGCCTGATTTGTGGTTGTTTCACAGTCACATCTTTTGCTGTGAAAGGCCAGATATTTGGCCGTGAAACGATGAGCATTTCACGACCAAAGATCTGGCTTTTTACGACAAGATCTCCACTGTCGCCATTGTTGGCAGTGGTGGTAGGCTGCTGGCAGTGGCTTGGGGTGGGTGGGGGTGTTTTTGTTAAGTTTTAAACTTTTTTTGTTTCTTGGGATGCTTTAGCTAAATCTGAAATGTAGGGGGTTAAAAAAATTATTCAAAAATTAATATTAAATAATAATATAATTATAATATCTAATAAGAGGGCAATTCAGTAATTTAAATAACATACCCACCATTCCATTCCTTCCAACCAAACATATTAATATAACATACTTACCAATTTATTCCAACCAACCAAACATATTTTCCTAAACATTCCCAGTAATACAACATTCCCTAAACCAAATATATATATAGTCAGTAAAACCTCTCTATAGTGATACTCTAAATAAGAATAAACTCCACATTGTAGTAAGTTGTAATTTTTTTAATTCCCGCTTTAAGGAAAGTTGCCTCTACATAGTAATAATCTGCATATTACAAAGAAAATATATGCTACGTTACATTAAACGTTTAAGATTAAAAATAAAAAAATAAAAAAAATTTATCTAAAGTTGTTTGGGACAATGATTTATGATTTAGAGTTGTTACCACATCTTTTACATTGCGCGTACTTAATAACTCTCTTGCATGGACACAAGGGCGAATGTAACACTAGTTGAGGGTGGGCCAAATTTAAAAAAAAAAAATATTAATGTGAACAATTTCTGGATTTTGGCCCACCCTAATAGAAATTTATGGATCCGCTACTGCATGGACACCTTCTTATTGAAGCCAAAATATTTTTAGCTTCTCAAGCATGTTTAGAGCTTCATGACATGGACCTTTTTGTATTTCCGTACTATCATCCTTTCTCTTCTTGTCTAATTGCAACAATAATTTATTCTTCAGTTAAAACATACACGATTTATTGCTAATTTGGATGATCAAGGAAGACATTAATATCCATTCAATTAGTGTAGTGCAGTTGCTGAATCTGATCACTCAATTCTACAATGACTCTTTTATTCTCCTCATCCACTTCATTTGTAACTTGTAATTCATCGACATCGGGGGTCCTAATTTTCTAGTGCTTAAAACCATTGACAGTTGTCGTGGCTTCGCATCAATTGACCATGCATCAATTGCAATTACAATTCCATCAATGACACTTATCTTTGTTGGTTCCAAAGACACGATCTTCCATCCATTTCAAAAGTAGGCAATTGAAGCGCTGAATTGATATCCTAATACTACTAAAATATAAATTGAAATCCTAATATTTTATTACCAAAACATGAATTATAAAATAAGAAATCAAAACAATTATTTTTGTAATTACACCTCCATTAAGTTATAACCTCCCACAGATATAAAATTAGTTGGTCTTACCATTATGATTATACATACATACATACATACATATATATGAGAGAGAGAGAGAGAGAGAGAGCCAGTCCTACTTTATAAATTGACTCTTTGTAATCATGTTTTATTATCAATAAAGACAATTTTCTATATCACGTGATTTGATTATATTCATATAAGATAGTGATAACATACATATATATAAGAGAAAGAGAGAGAGAGAGAGAGAGAGAGAGAGAGAGAGAGAGAGACAGTCCTACTTTATAAATTGACTCTTTGTAATCATGTTTTATTATCAATAAAGACAATTTTCTATATCACGTGATTTGATTATATTCATATAAGATAGTGATATATGTCGTTAGGATGGCAGAATTGTGACGAGGGTATTGAGTGTTTGAAATCTCGATAGTGAGAACCCTATGAGTACGTATGGTGGCCATTCTAGAAACATCCATAGCCCTAGTATTGTCCTGACCTAGGGCACAGATAATACGATAAGACTATCATAGTGTTGGACTACCCTATCGAAGGACAGTGATAGATCTCACTTGTCAAGGTTGTTTGATGATGACCTGGTGCAACACATGGGTGCTTGCTGTAGGCAAGTTCACCAGACCAGCCTATTGGAGGATTTCACATAGAAGGTTACCCCAGTGTCTATGGAAAAAATCCTCCAACAAAAGGTGGTGTATGTGATCTTTAGCCTTGAGATCACTGGAGTGCCTTGTGTATCGATTGGTGTAGCTTGACACTAGCCCAAAGTAGTCCTCTCAAGAATATCCAAACGGTAGTGGTTGGGTGCATTGAAAAGTGTATGAGACCATGGTGGATCAATAAAGGATTCATCACCCTTAGGTACGGGAGAAATTATCTCATTGCGTAATTCAGTGAAAGGACAACGACAGTAAATCTGTGGCTATAGTGGGACTGAGTTGTTGCTCAATCCAATTTGTTAAGGTTGTTGGTCCGAAGAACTGAATACAAAGATATCAAGGATATCCACCAAGGTTGACACTATTTCTATGCCTTAGCCTTGATGAGATAATAGATGATGAAGGGATTCGATTACACGGTAACCATATCGTTGATAGGTAGTGGTTTCATTAAATCCGAATCTATTAGGTGGCCATGATGTCTGGCTAGAGGTCAATCTTGGTCTTGTGTCTAGTCGAACAATTTGGTTTTTAAATTTGAACTGAAATGTTATGTTTGGTTGCAAGGGGAATCTATTCCAGTATTCCAATTGGAATAGATGGCTATTCAAAATTGGAATAGCGTTTTAGTGTGCACTATTTAAGTGCAACTAAAATTAAATCATTTAATGAAATTAAATTGCAAAAATTGAAACCCTATCCACCCCCCCTTTCTCTCTCTCTCAAAAATGTCAGTCCCTTTTTGTGAGAAAGGAATTTTTCTCTCAAAGAAAAATTTTGCAGAAAATTGTTCTTGTAGTTTAGAGATTTCTCTAGCCTAGAAATCCCTCAACGACGGTAGTCCTATATTCTTGTGGATACCGGGAGTGCATTTCTACATTGAAGTGATTTGCAATTCCAACATCAAGTCAGAGGAGCCTCAAACGCTGGTACGATATATTTTACCTTTGATTAATTTTTTATGCAAAAATAATATATTCGGCGTAAGGATTAATATGGGTTAAAGGTTAGCGGATCTTGAATAAAATTTTTAAAATTCCATTGTGTAATGGATCCGTTAACCTACAGTGGTATCAAAGCCTCTTATGCTTGATTTCAGTATTTTTAGTATTAATTGATTGATTAATGTCGATGATGGTTATGTGATAATAACACACAACTTTAGATGATTAGGGTTCATTAAGCTTGCATCGTTAGGCTAAGGTATTGGGTTATGAAGGAATATAAGGGATTCAAGCAATTAAGAGGAATAATCTTTCATTACAAAAGCATGATCACTCAACACTTATTCTCTCACATCCTACACCATTATTATTATTATTATTATTATTATGTACCTTTTTCATACTACCTTATTGATTTTTGATTTGATTTGATTTGATTTTTTTTTTTTTTTTTTTTTTTTTTTTTTTTAGGGATCAATTAATCAATTATAGAAATTTAGGAAGCATGGGTATCACCAAATTCCCCTTTTTCCCACACAACAACCCCCAACCGGTCCTTTCGAACACCCTCATAAAATTTACACAATCTCAAATCCACACACATTTTCACTTCCATAGATTTAGATTAATCCTCTTAAAAGAATGTCATAGGAAGGAAATTTGTTTAAGGGTTAAAACGGCCAGGTCATTACAAGTCAAAAGAAAGAAAATCAAGGCTAAATATATACCATAACAACTCAACGAGGTGACTAAGGATAATAACATCTAAGGTTGGCTTGAAAAGCACAAACGGTCCAAAGATGACCTAAATCATTTCTTAAATCATGCATCATCTAGGATTTCACCTCAAGTGATCATCAAATAGGTTCTAGTGTTTTAGGAATCTCACAAAATCATAGGAAGTTTACACACAAAACACCTTTAAATGCTAGAACCAACCAACCAAACAAACCACACACCCGAGCGTTTCAAACTCAAGCAAAATCAACATCTAGAATAATTCTCAAATTAGTGTAAAAATGACCTCTTCTAGACACTACATGTCATTGCAATCATGCTATATCATGGACATTTAACATAATCCAAGAACAAAAATCCCCACAAACTAAAAAAAAAAAAAAAAAAAAAAATTCGCAAGCATGCATAAATTTCATAATTTGCCACCCCCAACCAATTTCCTACATTGTCTCCAATGTAGCCATCAAATTAAGGTTGAGGCAAAAGGGAAAGAAACAAATTACCCCCCTTTATTAACGGATTGTAAAGTATCGAAAGTAACTCCACTGAATGCACATCCTGTAATCAACATGAAATCCACCAACACAAAAGAAAAGAAC